TTCTATGACAAGGTAACTGGCTCTGGAAACATGGGGATGTCTGTGGATGTGATATACCTTGACTTCAGCAAATCTTTTGATATTGTCTCCCACAATATTCTTGCCAGCATGTTAAGGAAGTATGGATTGGATAAATGGACTGTAAGGCGGCTAGAAAGCTGGCTAGATTGTCAGGTCCAATGGGTAGTAATCAACGGCTCGATGTCTGGTTGGCAGTCGGTTTCAAACAGAGTGCCCCAAGGATCAGTTCTAGAGCTGGTTTTTTTCACCATCTTTTATTAATGACCTGGATGAGGGGATGGATTTCACTCTCAGCAAGCCTGCGGATGACACTAAGCTAGGGGGAGAGGTAAATACATTGGAGGGTAGGGATAGGGTCCAGAGTGATCAAGACAAATTGGAGGATTGGGCCAAAAGAAATCTGATGAGGTTCCACAAGGAAAACTGCAGAGTCCTGCACCTGGGACAGAAGAATCCCAAGCATTGTTACAGGCTGGGGACCAATTAGCTAAGTAACAGTTCAGCAGAAAAGGACCTGGGGATTACAGTGGATGAGAAGCTGGATGTGAGTCAACAGTGTGCCCTTGTAGCCAAGAAGGCTAATGGCATATTAGGGTGCATTAGGAGGAGCATTTCCAGCAGATCTAGAGAAGTGATCATTCCCCTTTATTTGGCAGTGGTGAGGCCACATCTGGAATATTGTATCCAGTACCGGGCACCCCACTACAGAAAGGATGTGGACGCATTGAAGAGGGTCCAGAAGAGGGCAACTAAAATGATTAGGGGGATAGAGCATAGGACCTATGAGGAGAGGCTGAGGGATTTGGGCTTATTTAGTCTACAGAAGAGAAGAGTGTGTGTGTGGGGAGGAGGGTGGGGGATTTGATAGCAGCCTTCAATTTCCTGAAGGGAGGTTCCAAAGAGGATGGAGAGAGGCTGTTCTCAGTAGTGACAGATGGCAGAACAAGGAGCAATGGTCTCAAGTTACAGTGGAGGAGGTCTAAGTTGGATATTAGGAAAAACTATTTCACGAGAAAGGTGGTGAAGCACTGGAACATGTTACCTAGGGAGGCTGTGGAATCTCCATCCCTAGTGATTTTTAAGTTCAGGCTTGACAGAGCCCTGACTGGGATAATTTAGTTAGGGTAAGTCCTGCTTTGGGCAGGGGGCTGGACTCAATGACCATCTGAGGTCTCTTCCAGCCCTATGATTCTATGATATGGACCAGCCACTAGAGGAAAAAGAGACACACACTTTGCCAGCAAGTTTTACAGGCTATTTGCTGAGAACAAAAGGAAAATGGAAACACAGAACTTCTTAGTTCTATTCCAAGTTCTGGAGAGGCATGTACTTCAGTAGTGACAGAACCTTCCATCCTTTATTCCCCTGAGTCTGTTCCTTCCAGTCTTTCTTCCCCAGCTCCTGCCTCATTCTCCTACTGAAGTTGTTTTGCAAGAATTTAAAAAAAAATCAGTTTAAGGAGATGTGACGGGGCGAGGCAGCCCCGCACTAAACCTACAGGGCCCAGCCAGGGTTACCTGGCTGCAGAGGCCCCGCCCCCACAGCCCTACCGAGCATGCCCGGGCTGCAGCAGGGCTATAAAAGCCTGGGCCAGGACTCAGTCAGGGAAGGCAGCCGAAGGAGAAGGACTGGAGAAGGGAGCTCTCCCTCAGCGGTTGCCAGGGACTCCAGGAGAGGCCGGAAGGAAGGCGGAGGTGAATCGGTGCAACCCAGAGACTGCCTGCCTGCCTGCCGAGGGGACGCCAGCCTGGAGATCGCAGCCAGCTGGGCAAGTCCAGGGGAAGGAAGCCCGGGGGTCCAGGTAGGAAGTGGCCCAGGGCAGGAGCAGGAACCGCCTCTCCCGCCCTGAGAACCTCGGCCCGTTTTGGCTGGATTGCCCCGCTGAGGGAGTGACCCGCTACCCGATCACTCACAGGGCCCTGGGCCGGGACCCGCCGAGAGAGTGACCCTATACCTGGTTGCTCGCAGGGCCCTGGGCTGGGACCCGGTGGAGTAGGGGGGGCCCAGGTCCCCCTACCTGGGGTGTGCCCCTGCTACAACGACAAACTGCGTTGTGGACTCGGCCTTGCTTAATGGGCCAGCTATAGACTGTTTTGTGGACTCAGGCCAGGGGGCCTTAGCCCTGCTTAAAGGGCCAGCAGTAGACTGTTTTGGGGACTCAGGCCAGAGGGCCTTTGGCCTGGCTTAAAGGGCCAGGGAGAGACCGTATCACAAGGGGTCGGGGACCCAGGCGGGAGGGGCCCGCCACAGGAGATAATGGCACAGAAAATTTCCAAAGAGTTAAATTTAAACAAGCAATCTGACTATCTATAAGTATCATAAGCTTTTGTGGGCAAAATTCGCTTCTTCAGAGGAGATAATCCTGAGAGGCGAAAAAAAGGGGACCCTTAGAATAAGAAGGGAGAAGGAGGGAAAAAATTACTTGTCAATTTTAGTCCTGGTGCTATTGAGCCTAATTGAATGGGCTGGAAGTGCCCCATATTTATTTTTGATGTCACTAGGATGTTGAATGTAAGGAAAGCTGGTATTATGTTATCCAGTTCAAGTCTTTGTTCAGGTCATGGGAGACTGTCAAATTTGCATATGATGGTCAATTCTGCACTCTCTCTAGTGGCTTGTGAAATTCCTTATGTTTTTTCAGGTATTCTTCAGAGTGCTAGATAACAGCTAAGCCATACTAGCCTGCTTACTCCTATTCCAATCTTGCCCAGTCTCAACCCATGCCCTCAGGATAGACTCTGTACCTATCAAGTGCTCTCTGTGAGGTCTTGAGAAAGAGGGAATTGTGTTTGGTAGCAGGCAAACTCTTTTTTCTACTGAAGAAGAGAAATCTGCCCACAGACAGTCAATCTCCCTCAATGTGTGGCTTCCAGTCGGACAATCCCAGTACTACAGGGGTAGCTGTGTAAGTCTGTATCCACAAAAACAATGAGGAGTCCTGTGGCCAATTAAAGACTAATAGATGTATTTGGGCATAAGCTTTTGTGAGCTGGAGTCCACTTTGTCAGAATCTCAGTACTTCTAACCATGCAGTTTGAACATCATGCGTCAGGCCTTCACCCACCCACCAAAAGAATTCCATAAATTTAGCCACAGAATGTTTAATTTTTACAGACTGAAAATGTTTTGAACTTCCCTCTGCCCCATATGGTATCAGCTATGTTATTAGTATACAGCTGGAAGTAAAAATGTTTGCCACTGCATCCCACTAGCAGTTAATTTTGCGCCATACCCCTCATATCAACCCTGACACCCCAAATCAATTTTTTGCACCCAGCCCTCATATCAACTTCATGTACACTTTAGTTCTCCCATGCCCAAACTGCACAACTACTTGGCTCTGCCCCCATTCCCACAGGTGGTCCTTGGCCCCTAGTGTAGCTCTCCTTCTGCAGCTATAGAGGTTCGTCATTATCCACACCCCCCCCCAGGCCTGGAACAGGGGTAGCACCAAAGTGCTCCTCCTTTCTTCATTTCCAGACTAGGGCTGTGTCTAGACTGGCAAGTTTTTCTGAAAAATCATCTGCTTTTGCGGAAAAACTTGGCAGCTGTCTACACTGGCCGCTTGAATTTCTGCAAAAGCACTGACGATTTCATGTAAGATTGTCAGTGTTTTTGCAGAAATACTATGCTGATCCTGTTCGGGCAAAAGTCTTTGCGCAAGAGGGCCAGTGTAGACAGCAGAGATTTGTTTTCCGCAAAAAAGCCCTGATCACGAAAATGGCTATCGGGGCGTTTTTGCAGAAAAGCGTGTCTAGATTGGCCACGGACGCTTTTCTGCAAAAAGTGCTTTTGCGGAAAAGAGTCCTGCCAATCTAGACGCGGTTTTCTGAAAATGCTTTTAACAGAAAACTTTTCCGTTAAAAGCATTTCTGGAAAACTATGCCAGTGTAGACGTAGCCTAGGTGTTTGAGGGATGGCGCATACAATAGACTGACCAATTTTTATCATGAGAAGGATGAGGAGGGAGCTGCTGGATTATTTGCTTCTCACACCTCATGGTCAGCCTCTCCCTTGGACCTCTTCCCCTACTCAGTAACTCTTCTTAGCCCCTAGGGAAGGGGACAGAGCTATGCCTGCCCCCAATAGCAGGTCAGATTGGTGGGTAAGTGGGGAACACAATTAATCAAAGGAGGCTTTCCCCAGGGCAGTCAAAAAAAAAAAATCAAGTGAAGGCTGGAGTTTTTCGTGTCAGAAAAAAATCTCATTACTGACTATAACATTCTAAGATCTGGCACCCCTACAATGTACACCAGCATTATGATAGAAGTCTGGATGCTTTGTTATAACTTCTCCACTAAATAGTAGCTTATTCTACTGACCAGAAGTTTCTTCTCTATAAGAAGCACCCACTCAACAGCAATTTTGACTTGTAGTAGTAAAAATTATTTCCACCGTGGAAGCATACTTATTTCAATAGCAGCAAAATAACACTTTATTTGCAGGATAAAAATGTTCCTGTAGTGGTATTAATATATTTACATACACATAACCTATGTAAATTACTCAACATGTATTCCAATTTAACACTAACACGGTTTCAATTTTCAAACAGACACTAAAGGTGAAGGATGAGAAATATAAAGTCTGGCTCAACTAGAACAAACAGGTAAGTATGACTGCTGTCATTTAAATATTTTCTTTATTTTTTTTAAATTTAAGTAAATGTATTATATATAAAAATACTAACAACCTTAGACTTTTTTAAAAAGCAGCAATGGAAGCTTCCTCACAACACTTTACCAATGTGTCAAGTCTTGGCCAGGCAGGATTAATATTTATGTATGTGCATTGTCGTATTAATTTAAATTGAATATATGGGCAAAATATGTAAACAAAACCTAGTCATTGTCCAACATTAGACAATGTTCATTGAGGTCTGGGGCTTGGTATACAGAGATCTCAGGCTGCTTAACACCATGGAGAAACACCATTAAATATCCTCTTAATCTTGTATTAAAGATAGAGAAAAGGGAAAATAGTGTTTTAAAAGGAAAGCTTTATTGAATACTTTACACTTTAAAGCAGTCATTCCTTGATCCCTTTCCCTTTAGCTAGAGAGAGTTTTCAAAAGGTTAAACCCTCAATGATAACAAAGGGGGTAATAATCCTGTTGGGGAAAAGAGAAGTAGTTTGTTGAGATGGGCTGGAGATGTCCTTGCTTCTGTGGTTGTTACAGTCCAATCATAGAAGGGCAAGCTCCTTTGTTTGACAGTCTCTTTTCAAGATGATAATAACTGTCATCCCAGATCATATCCAGCACACGCAGCTGGAGCCAGTAGGGGTAGCAATGGCATCTGGATCCTTCTGTTTCTCTGGCCAGAACATCTCTCAGGCTCAGAATGATGAAGGCTTGGGGTTCCAGAAAATTATGGGAATGTGGCAGCCAAGATTGTGAAGTTCACTCCAGTACTAGCTGTCTGTTCCTTCCATCTATTCTTTTTATTATTTTCTTACTTTCCTTACTCAAATCTCTTTAAGGACTCCCCCTCCCCTCAAAGGAGTGATGGAAGGAACTGCCCATTCCTTTATTTTGTCCAACAATCAGACCTAATATCTGATATACAAATTTCAGATCTTTAACTTCTGGCTCCATATCTCCTATTTTTAATATACATAAATTTCAACAGTCCTTGAATCATATCAATGTGGCTTTTAATTTTTATTAATTTAATTGTCTCCCTTTTATGCACTATTCCCATCAACATTACAGATATTGTAACACATTGTGAATTTTTATATACTTTTACAGTTGAAGTTGAGCTCATTATTCAGGTACATTTGTTGGCTCAACTATCACAACAGCAGTCACTGACCTTGCTCCTGAGATTACCAATAAGTGAGCTAATTGTGGTCTGTTCTTTAGCAGGCTGCATAACAGTGAGCTAAGAAATGGACTAGATCTATTAAATTATTCCACAGAGGTCACCTCACAGCAATCACATGGATAATTATTTTCTGCCACTAGGAGCGTTCATTAGATTCATATTGGTAATCTGGAAGTAGAAACCTCTGCATAGTGTTGTTAAATCTTACCCAGCCATCAGTCCATTTTTTTTAATTCAGATACAGTTCCTATTTGACTTTAGGGTTGCCAGGCGTCCGGTATTGAACCGGACAGCCCGGTATTTGCGCCTTCCATCTAGTAAAACAAATTCAGAAAAAAACAGACATCTAAATGTGCTCGCCCTACAGAAGGCTGCTTGGAACATGTGCAGCTCATGCTGGCTGGTTCGGTATTTTTTGTGAAACCATCTGGCAACCCTATTTGACTTTGTCTAATACAGTGGTTCCCAACTGGTGGTCTGTGGACCCCTGGTGGTCCATGACAGTACTACAGGGGGTCCATGGAAAGATTAAAAATTACTTTTCTTTTCTCCCCCATGGAGGGAGTGGTCCATGAATTTTTAATAGATTGAAAAGGGGGTCCATATCTCAAAGATTGGGAAATACTGGTCTAATATATTGACCCCAAGCACACAGTACTACCTTCTCTTTTATTCTTTCTGGCTACTAGGCAGCAGAATAATAAACCTACATTTGTATTGAAATTAACTTTCACTTCACTAATTCTCAAAACTCCTTGAATTTTGAAAAACTTTTTTTAAGTAAAGAAAATGAAATTAAATATAATTACCTCATGTAGCTTTATTTGTGTAAAAAAAGCAATATTTGATGTTTGGGCTAGCGTCAACACCATTCCCTCATGATATGTGCAGATTTGTTTTGATAGTATGTATATTTTTAAAGGTAGCACTGTTATAACAGCAGAAAGACACATCTAAGTCTTGATCCTTAATGGGACACCAAACTATACAATACCAAGAGAAATGTAACACTTGCTTCTTCTACACTGAAAAGCAGTTTCACAAGTACGTAAGTTCCATTTATGTAGGCACACTGATTTACCAAGCACCATTCCTTTTCATTTTTAATTTTTTTTAAATTTAACATCAACATTAAACTTTGGACAGAAGACAGTTAAACCTCTAGGACAGTTTCTGTATTAAAAACTACTTACATCAAAACACTGTATTTATTATACCTTAGTCAAAAAAATTCACTGCAAGTGACCCTCTCGCTGAATTCGAAGGCGTTCTTTCTCCACTTGTAAACGTTCCTTCTCAATCTGCAGCTTTTCAGATTCATATTTTAAAAACTGCAGCCTCTCTTTCTCTAACTGCAAACGTTCCTTTTCAAGTTTTAATTTTTCAGTTTCTAGATCCAGAGGCTGTAAAATTGGTTTCTCCACCTGGCTGATGTCATTTTCCACAGGAGGTTTTTCAGCACGCAGAGTCTCTAGCCTCAGTTTCTCTCGCTCAATCTGGATCCGTTCCTTCTCCAGTTGAAGTCTCTCATGCTCTAGACCTACATGCCGCAATCGCTCTTTTTCAATCTGCAGGCGCTCTTTCTCCACCTGTAGCCTTTCAGCTTCAATATCCAGCCGCTGTTTCTCCAGCTCTAGTTTTTGTTTCTCCAGGTTTATGAGCAAATGAGAGTCTTCATAGGCTAGTCGGGCTTGCGTAGAGCTCAGATTTCCAAATTCTTCAATGTGAGTGAAATCTGGTAGATCACTTTCCTTTTTGGAATCTGGCAAAACTGATGACAAAATTTCTTCTTCTTCCTCAATAGGAAACTGTTGGGAGGAAATAGAAATATAATTATTTAATGTACCTCTTCATACCATACTCAGCCAGTTACATCTGTTCAACCTCACTTAAAACAAAGGAGACTTCTTGTTTCTAGTTATATCTCAGAAATTATTCCAGACATTCGTTTCATTTGTGCTTTATACAATTAATGTGTTAAATTCAAACCCTGAGTTTTCTATTGTTACTAAAGGCATTGCTTATTTGATCAGCAACAAATTCACAGGGGTTAGTGCTGAAGCACAGAATTTCTTCAGCAGACCTCCACTGTACAGATGCAGAAAGAAAGAAAAACCTTCGCTGTTTATTCTGCAAAGGTTCATTTAAAAATAGGTTGTCACAGGGGTTATTTAGATGACTTAAAGAATTCTCAGATTTAGTAAGCAGGCATTGTTTTTAGTTTTCCATATAGATTTCATGACAACCTCCTAGGTCACACTCAAAATTTCTTTTGAACAATTACTTAACATGAGTTGGAATGTTATTGAACGTAACATTAATTAATGCTGCAAAGCAGGAGTCAGCAACCTTCAGCATGCAGCCCATTAAGGTAACCTGCTGGTGATCCACGAGACATTTTGTTTATATTGATTGTCTGCAGGCATGATGCCCCCCACGTCCCCAGTGGCCATGGTCCCCCATTCCCAGCCAATGGGATCTTAAGGAATAGAACTGCCTGGGTTTGGAACATAATCTCCCTGTATCCCAAAACCGATTATTGGAATTAGGAATGTTAAAAAGCATCAGTGTAACTGTTGAAAATCTTAGCAGTTATATGCTGCAGCTCTGCAGCGTAAGCTTTATACTGCAGAGCCCGCAGCATGGGCAACAGCTGGCTTCCCAAGAACAGGGCTGGCAGCCGAAGCCAGCGCACGGCAGGAGCCAGCTTAGTAGTACACCAGCTCCCAGCTGCTTGTTCCACTCTTAGGGATCCAATTGCCACTGCAGACTGTATCAGAGCCAGCAGCACAGAGTGACAGCTGGCTCCCTGGGAGCTGGTGAGCACCAGAAGCCAGCTTTTAAGCTGGCTCCCAACTGCCCGCCCCACTCCCAGGGTGCCGGCTGCTGCCCTGCACTAAATGCTCTGATGCAGAGCCAGCAGGGCAGGATGGTAGCCAGCTCCATGGGAGCCAGTGGGCACTGAAAGCCAGCTTTTAAGCCAACTCCTGGCGCATACTGGATCCTGCCTGCCAGCCCCACTCCCGGGCAGTCAGCTGCTGCTCCATGCTATAGGTTCCAATACAGAGCTAGCAGCACGGGGTGGCAGCTGATCCTCTGGGAGCCCGTACAGGCCAGAATCTGAGTTTTAAGATGGCTCTTGCCACATACTGGCACATGCTGTGGGCTCTGCAGTATAAAGCTTACGCTGCAGAGCTGCAGCATGTAACTGCTAAGATTTTCAACAGTTACATTTTTAACATTCCTAATTTCAATAATTGCTTGAGTAGGATCATGTGGGATACAGGGAGATAATGTTCTGAGAGCAGGGCTTAGAATTGGTGTGTAACCATTACATAAACCGATAAGCTCATGATTACTGGTTAACTGTTTCAAGTTACACTTACATACCTAACTTGAATTCCATACAATTAACAGTCCAAGAAATGACAAGATGACTCCCACTTTCCACCTCTTCTCCCCATGCTACTGTTCTAGAAATTTCATTGCTGCAAGGTGGGATATTGCCTATTAGGAGTTTGACACCTGCAGTAAAATCAACCAATCATTTCCCTCTCCCAAATCATCTCTCCTTTCCAGCAGAACTGCGTTATTAGAGGTGACACCAAGCGTTCTCATTCATCTTGGTCTTCAGCTAACGTGGTTGGATTGTGAAAGACATTGGTTACTCCTTTCCCTATTCTAGTGTATGTGCAGAGGTGTGGAGAGGAGAAATATTAAGCTAACTCCTCTTTCAGTCCACATGAATACTGGATCCTATTCTTTGAAATAAACTGTCCAAGTGGGAAAAGAGAAAAAACGTAGGCATAAATACATTTATAAGATTACTGAATAAATGTATAGTTAATCAAAAACGAGACCTTATGCAGATGTGTAGGTTGCTCCATTTAAAATATTCATATAAACAGAGCTTGTCACAGGAGATTCTCCAATTCACACCGATATCTTGGGAAATGATAATATAGAGGAGTATTAGCTACAAGTGTGGAAAAAGTCCCCATACTGGAGTGAAATGAATGGCCAGACTGAAGACAACTACCTACACTACTCACTTCAAAATTCTGTGGATCCTCCTCTTCCTCTTCCACTTTGATTTCTGTTAAAGATCCACTGGCTTCTTTGAAGTCTGTGATATTTAGCCATTCAAAACTAGATTCATTTGTAAATCCCATTTTCTCATCCATATCTTCATTGACAGAATCATCTAAATCAGATGAAGGAAGGTGGAACCCAGCACCTACTAGCTTGATGTTTGCATTTAGACGCTTTCTCTTCATGAGTGCTCTCCAGTCAAGGTATCGCCTTTTCACTTCTGTCCCTGTTCTTTGCTCTCCTTCACCTACAGCATTCACACACTCTGCTATTTCCTCCCAAGCTTTTCGTTTCATCTCATTAATTGTTGTGTTAAGCTGCTTGGAAAAAAGCACCTCTTTCCTTTTTCTAATTTCTTTAAGGAGTGTTTGAGTTTCTTGAACACTAAAATTGCTTTTTCTTTTTCGTTTTAATTGTTTCATTTTTTCCATCTTTAATTTTAATAGTTGTTACAGCCACTTACAGACTAAAGAGATTATGAGTGTTCAGTTTATTTATACAATAATAATTTTAAAAAAATCACAAAATGGCACTTAGGTCTTCAGTGGGTTCTCTCATCACTTGGTCATCATTGGGCCTATTAAGATCCTAAGAGGAGAGAGCAAATAATATAAATCTCAAAGATATATCGTGATATTTTCATCCACTCATAACTCAACACTGCTAAAGAATCTATATGCTGAACTGATCATTCTTCTATCTAACAGATTAAAACCATTTTTTAAAAAGCGTTTGGAATTCAGAGTAGCTACAACCTTGTCTGACCTTATATGAATCTTAAATCCATCAATATATATCTGTGTCACACCCTGTTAAGGTTGAGTTGATATTTCCATTATAGAGATGTGGCTATTTTCCTTTGGCTTTTACAATTTTGCCAATTTAAATTTGCTCCAAGCTGAAACTTGACATACAAGTCTCATCTTGAGTTTTCTAAAGTGGCTAAAATGGGTAAAGCCACATCTTCAGAGATGTAAAATATCTGAATGAGACATTTCTCAGTTGACTTTAAAACATTATTTCGAACTAAAAAAAACAGTTTAATTTTAAAAGCTGAGGCTTTGGAGGCATTTATTATTTCTGAGCCATTATAACAACAGTAGAAGAATTTGACCGGTTAATAGGAAATAGTATTTGCCGTTAAAAAAAAAATCTTGAATTAAAATGTTTTTAATACAGAAAATACATACTGTGGCAAAACTGAGTCCTGTGCTTCTGGAGGATAATGTTTGCCTCAAAGGCTCACTGTGGCCCTCTACACAGCCTCTCCTTTTCTAAAGGCAAGGGTCACAGCCTACTGAGCCACAGTCATCATAAACTAGTCCAAAGTTTAGGGTTAACCCCCATAGTCCTAACTTCTCCTCTCGGGGCAGATTCTAATGATATGGAGACGGTTGCGAGGGAACCCAGATCTACCCACTACTCTGCGTTCTGACCCAGGGCTCTAAGGCAATAGCAACAGAGTTTCCTCTACTCCCAGTCTGGCAGCTTCTTACTAGGACCATTTTCCCAAACAATTTCTCCCAGTACCTTTTCTCTGGTCCCTGAGCAAAGCAGTCCTGCTCCTCTACAGCACTTTGCCTTACCCACAGCTCTCACCCAGCAGACTCTTTCACTCTCAGATCTTGGGCTCCACACCCTCTCTGCAGGGATATCTTATAAAGAAACCCCAGCAGGCCTTAATGAGCTGCAGGTACTCTGATTAGCCTTCTGCTTCCCCCAAACTCTTAATTGGCCCCAGGAAACTCTGATTGTGCTGCACTAGGCTCGGCCCTGTTTACTCAGGGAAGAGAAAACTGTTCACCCAGGTTGTGTCTACATGGGCACGATCTTACGCCAAAGCGGCTGCTTTTGCGCAAAAACATGCTGCCTATCTACATTGATGGGGAGTTCTTCCGCAAGAACACTGACGTTCTAATGTGTGAAATCCGTGCTTCTTGTGCAAGAACTATGATGCCCCCGCTCAGGAATAAGCCCTCTTGTGCAACTGTTCTTGCAGAAGAGGCCAGTGTAGACAGGCAACATGAATTTCTTGCGCAAGAAAGCCTGATGGTTAAAATGGCCATCAGAGCTTTCTTGCGCAAGAGAGCGTCTCACTGGCACGGAAGCTTTTGTGCAAAAGAACATCTCTTGTGCAAAGGCACATGCCAGTGTAGATGCTCTCTTGTGCAAATACTTTAACACAAATACTTTTACTCTTGCATTAAAGAGTATTTGTGCAAGATCATGCCAATGTAGACGTAGCCCCAGAGTCCAGCATATTTGCCCTCCATGTGAATGTGGCAGCCAGCTGGTATGGGTCTGTCACAATATAAAAAGAAATCCTTATGAACTCAAACGTACAAACCTGTTCCTTCAACCTTTTCTCCCCTGGCTTTCTGGCACTTCTACATACAACAAACCATGTCAGAATTTTCTTAGACTAAAAACAAATCAGGAAATTCAGGCAGGCATGCGCTTGAGAGCAATTTTCTTCAGGGCACACATTCACTTTAGAAATAACTATGGTAACTATATACTGCATTTCTTTCTAAAAATTGCTCATTTTTACCTGAATGACGACAGGGCCTTTAAAAAAACATACACACACATCTGTTTAATATTAATTCCCCTTTGTAACATTGCTATGGCCACTAGTTGTGGCTCTGGAATAAGAAACATAACATGAGAAATATCTAACAAGAATAGAAGAATTTTCAAAGAAAACTGACATTCTTATTGACACACTCTGGTAAAAAGAATCAAAAGCAAACATCCTGTTTAAAGAAGGCTATGTTAACACAAACTAGATACCTTTTGTGTCTCACCTGTGGGGTCAACACAGGGAAGTTAAAATACAACTGGCCAGTATACACTGAAATTTACATCCTTACAATCCAAACTGTAAGGTTATGTAGATGTAGCTTTAGAACAGGCATGTCAAACTCGAAGCCGACTGAGGGCCTCACAAACAAAAACTGATAGCTTTCAGGACCACCGAAGAAAATGTACTTTATCAGAAAGTCGGAATTATTTATTATAAAATATACCTAAAACATAATTTGTAATATTTTTTTCAGGTCTTGTTTAATATAATACAATAATTTGATGTGTAAAATTGTTAATTGCTCATATAAAATATTAATTTAAATAGATATTTAAGGTACTTTTTATATGATAACTTTGTTTTGTTGAAATAAAAACAAGTATAGACAGGGGTTAATCAAATAGAACACGCATCTGAAAACTTCAGATACTTTGTAAGTTTGAGATTTTGCATAAACGTATAATTCGTGCAATTGCAAAAAATGTACATATATTTGATATAAAATTAATATACATTTTGTGATTTTATTTGGGAATAAGTACATTAACAAAATAACCCCTTCCTCTCCCCCAGAGCCAGGCACTCCAAATCCTCTGTTCCTCCAGAGCCAGGCACCCCCAACCTAATGCCTTATCCTCCCCCACAGCCAGGCACTCTCAGCCCCCGCAAACTAATACCTGGGTCCCGGGGTCGCTGTTGCCTCAGCCACACACTTCTTCCTCAGGCATGCTGGGGCAGCATGAGCACAGCGGCCAGCTGTGAGTGCGTGCTGGGTGCCATGCGTAGAGCGGCCTGGCCAGCTGTGAGCACATGCGCAGAGCACCTAGCGCAGAGCAGCCCGGCTGGCCGTGAGTACATGCTGGGTGCTGTGTGCAGAGCAGCACTGGCCATGAGCAATTGCTGTGGTGCAGAGTGGCCTGGCCAGCTGTGAGCTGCACTTGGCTACATGGTCTGAGCAAAAAATTTTGATCGGGCTGCATGCAGCCTGCCAAATGCCAGTTTGACATGCCTACTTTAGAACATGACTAACTGGTTCACTCACAATGTGCACATCAAAGTCCTGGCATTTAAAGATGCTGATACGTCAACTGACTACTTTGAAAAACTTCATATATAGAAATAATTCTAAATATCTGTCATAGAAATATGTAATTCTTTTCTCTTAGGGTATGTCTAGACTACAGGGTTTTGTCGACAGAAGTTTTGTTGACAGATACTGTCGACAAAGCTTCTGTCGACAGAGCGTCTAGAGTACATTCAGTTCTGTCGACAAAGCAAGCTGCTTTGTCGACAAAACTCTGTAGTCTAGACACACCCTTTTTAGCAAGTTGCAATATATTTTCCCCACATTGACTCTTTTGTGGGGATTAACTCTTTGTGTTTTCTCTCCTCCAGAAGTAATCATACTTTACAATATGATGATGGCATGAATAAAAGATGACTTCTGATTAGGAATGAAAAAGCAGGAACAGATGAAGAAACAAATAATATTTTCAAATGTAAGTGTGATTAAAGATAGGTAACTAAGAAAAAAAGACAGAAAATGATACTGTGCAAGGAAAATGTTTTCTAGGTAAAATGTGGTTCAAAGCTGTAAGTCGAATATTAATTTTAATGTTGCCATTAAAATTCATTAATTCAGGTCATTTGAATCCAGCTGATAGATGTTGATACTTATTTTCTGTTGCTTATTCTAATGTCTAATTGAAATTGCCAGAATCAGTATTTTAGTGGCTTCTCATTTCAGCAACCAAAGTCTAACATCATATATTTGTCTGCATATTATGGATGTAAAATCCTTTTTAACTGGCTAATCAGTTAAATATATTGTTTAACTGGTTAACCAATTAAAGGAAGTAAGAGGGGGGCCACCCCAGCCCAGCTACCCCTACCTGCCGCTGGGCTGAAACACCCATCCCAGGCAGGAGCTGCTCCAGCCCGGCCAGAGCAGCTCCTGCTTGCAGCCCTCCAGCTGCAGGTAAGGATTGCACTAGCTGCAACACCAGAACAGCTCCTGCATGTGGGGTGCCCAGGTCTACTGCAGGCAGGGACTGTGCTGGAGCAGTCCTTGTTCACGGCAGGCCCCCCCACAGGCCTGGAGCAGCCCCCTGTCCTTAGGAGGTAGGGAGCTGCTCCAGCCCCACCAGTTAACAGGTTAAACCTTCACATCCCTAGTGTATATATTTATACATGGGCAAACACAGTCTTTGTCTTGTATAGGACAATGTATTTACATATACAATAGGAAATGGAAAACAATTTCACAGAGAATAAAGATGAAATCAGATAGAGCTATTGTAAGACTGTAATGTGCAGTCTTGAGGGTGAGGGTGTATGTTGGGATGTATTCCCTACATTAGACCCAGAAAACGACATTAGGTCTGGCAGGCTCAATCAGTCAAATTAGTGGCAAATGAGAGAGATTTAGGCTGTGTAAAAAGCTTTGCTTAGAAAGCAGCTCACCTGTAAGGGAACAGGTGGAAGCTTTTATAAAGCCAGGAGGAAGGCAATAATGCAGGAGAGCAGCAGACAGGAAGTCTGTAGTTCCCCTCTCCAGAGATAAAAGGAAGTGGAGGTAGGAATCCCTGAGATCTAGTAGGCCTGAGAGGTCTGATTAGGACTGAAGAAACACAGGAAATACACCAGGGGCCAGAGCATGAGAATGGATGCAGTCACAGACCTTAATCACTTGCTACAGGGCACTGGAACTCTAAGTAGAGAGTGAGCCTGGGTCCCCTTCCAAACACTGTAGAGTGGTACTGCTCGAGGCAGTAAATTAGAGGACCACCTGGGTCACTGGGGGTTGATAGGGTCCAGGCTGTGGAGGGGAGGGACGGACTGCCGGATATTTCTTGAAAGTGACTTGATTGGAGAACTGAGTCACAAAGCAGCCATGCCACAACTCTAGCACCTACAGCCCTCCTCTCACTTGAGTCACAAAGCAGCCATGCCACAACTCTAAGTGAGAGGAGGGCTGTAGATGCTAGAAAGAGAAGGGGGTGCTGAATTGGACAGAGCTAACTCCTAAAATTAGCTGAAAGAGGCATGACTAGCAGTGTGTAAACTGTGTAATGTCAGGCAACACCACAGTATTATTCCTGTAAGTGCAGAAAGAAAGAAAATTATTCTGGAACATTTTATCACATCTTTTGGT